CCCCCTTGGACTGATGCGGAAGGAGCCCAGTGTCCCCTCTGGGTGACGGAGAGATGCCTGCAGAGGCCACTTCCAATCCCTGCTGTCTGTAATGTAAGAACATAAATGTGTTCGGGAGTCGGAGTGGAAACAGTTTCCCTGGTTCTTCCTTGGCAATCATAACCCACCAAGGCAGAAACAAGAGATAGAACTTTTTAGCAGACAGTGATCTCATTAGGAGCATAAAGGGGAAGAAAGTCTATTTTAAACAGAGCAAGGTATGAGCTGTGCCAGTAAATATTGCATGCTTACTAGGTGCTGGGCACTGGAGAGTGAAACAAATATACTGTTCCTGCCCTGCTGGCAGAGTAGACCCATGTGGCTAAACCATAGAATGATTTGCTGGAAAAAACTATATTTACACCTAAGTCTGTTTGTTTGTTTCTTTCTTTTGTAATTGTAAATGGTATTGTATTTTTAATTTCAGTGTCCACATGTTCATTGCTAGTATATAGAAAACAATTGATATTTTAAAAATTTTTATCTTATATCCTGCATCCTTGCTAAACTCACTAATTAGTTGTAGGCATTTTTTTTTTTGGTATATTCCTCAAAATTTTCTATCTAGACAGTCATATCATCTACAAATAGAGATGGCTTAATTTCTTCCTCTCCAATCTGTATGTTTTATGTCCTTTTATTGTCTCCTGTGCTGGCTCCAACTTCAAGCACTCTGCTGAATAAGAGTGGTGAGAGTGGACAGCATTGCCTGTTCCTAATCTCGGGGGAATCATGCAGTCTTTGACCATTAAATACATGGTTAGTTGTAGGGTTTTTTGCAAATGTCATTTGCACTGTACTGTATGGGTGTGGGAGGGACCATGGGGTTTTCTGTGGTATTTGGCTGAAACAGAGTGGTTATTATCTAAAAGTTGTCCGTCTTGCTTGAGGGAGCAAGCTTTTGTTGGAGTCTCTTTCTGTCTGTGCTTGTTGGCATTTCCAGGTTCTTTAGCTCCAGATGAGTTCTTACGGGTCTGCCTTCTTCACTCTGCCTTTCAGAGTCTCCCTGTATTTGTTTTACCCGTCACATGCAGTGGTTTCTGTTGTACATGGCAGGTGGAATGGGGAAGAGTACGTCTACTCTATCCTTTCAGAAGTGGAAGTGGTTGGGAGAAGTTAGAGAATTAGGTTGAGGCCAAGATGTAAGGCCTTCATACCAGGGGTTTGGCTTTGTAGGTGGTACGAGGGCGATCAGAGGTTCAACCCGACAGCAGTGTGGAGGCATGATCGGGTGCGGGGAGTGGCAGAGAGACCCGGGGCCCGGGGAGGAGAAATGATGAGGTTCTGGACTATGATGGTAGACATGGGGCAGAAGGAAGAAGGGGAAGTCCACGTGGGCCACAAGGAAGGACGAGGAGACTATGTGAGTCTGAGGTTTCTAGCTTGGGCAACTAGCTTTGGGGTTGGGGAGATAGGGGAGGGGTGTAAGTGTAGCAGAGTGGGTCTATTCCAGGCCTTTTAGAGCATTTCTGGAAGATCAGACTAACTGTGCTTCCCTTCAGGGCAGGCTCCACAGGGGAAGCCTGGCTGCTGTGTAAAAACCCAAGGAGTGTGATTCTGGGCCGAGGACACAATGTAGAGAAAGGCACACGTACAGGAAACATCATGGTGGGCCTGCTGGGATTCCAGCTATCTGAGGGTAAGGAGTAGTTATTGGTTCCATGACTAGGAAGGATGCTGTAGGAGTTCACAGAAGTGAGGTTCCAGAATGGGAGTTGAAGCTCCTGGTGGCCCGTCTGGCACCTTCTGTTCTTTGTGTGTTAGCATCAGTCTTTCCCACTGCAGACAGGCCACCCTCCCTGGAGGTGTACCACTGCTGACAGCCCCAGTGGAGCAATTCCAGTGAAAGGAGAACTCCTTTCACTGCATCCATGTATCAATTCTGGAGAAAGGCTCTGATTGGCCCAGCTTGGGTGAGGAGCTTGTCCTCTTGGACCTATCACTGTGGCCAGGAAGTGGACTACTCTAACCTGAGCTGGATGGCTGGATGGTTTACCCACCCCCACTGGGTCAAGTAAGGTCTTTTTGAGAAGAAGGCAGAAGAAAAGCATCTAGGGAAGATTAAAAAAGAATATTTACTATGGCTTACTATAATATCTTTTGAAAAGTTTATAGTATGGCAATGTAGGGACTCTGCAGAGTTTTAAGCAGGGGACTTGATCAAATTTTTTCTTAAAATCATCACTGTGTGAAGCTGTGGTTGGACATAAGTAAATGACAAGAGCTGGGAGACTGGTTAAGAGGCTGTTATTGTAGTTCCGAGGAGAGCCGATGAGACCTGAGCTAATTCGAGTCCTTGGACTCTTATTTCATTTGGACTTTACCTCCAGCCACAGGGAGGTCAAGGAGGGCGATCAAGTCTGGAGACAATTAGGTGAGCAGAGTTTGGTGACCAGCTGGAGGGTCCAGGGAGAAGGGGGCTTCAGGAGGAGTCAGCACCAGCACCAAGGGGGTAATAACTGTCCTCTGGAAGGCTGGCTTTATCTTTGGAAACTAGTTATTAAGTGGTGGCAGACTTGACATATCTTTCTTACTGTTTCTTAAGAAATATGAATGTTCGTGCCCTAACTGGAAAAGGAAGCTTACTGGTTGTATTTTTCTCCCTTTAAAAAGTTTCCTTTCTTTAAGGAACCAGCTAATAGGATCTGCATCAGGGCTACCAGTGGAGAAATAGGTGGTTGGGAGGAGGACCCTGGCCTGAAGACCCTCCCTCCCCCACCAGCCTGCCCCTGGGTCTGCGGGTCTACTCTCGAAACATTCATCCCTTTGACATTGTCCCTGCTAGGAAGACTTTTAAGGATTTTAAGCAAAGAAATGATATAATCTGACTTATGTTGTAACAGATTCCTTCCTGTGTTGAAAATAGGGTATGGGTGGAGGTAGGAGTGACACCAAAAATAGAAGCAGGGAAAGCAGGGACACCAATTAGGAGGCTATTGCAATCATTGCAATCATCTCGGATGGTAATGGTGGAGGAGGTGAGAAGTGGTCACATACTGAATGTATTTTGAAGGTAGAAGCCAGTTTTGGTGAGGATTGGATATGGAGTAAGAGAGAAAGAAAGAAACAGGAGTGAGAATGACTCTAAACCTTTGTCCTGGGCAACTGGAAGACTATTAAATTGAGATAGGTAAGACTCTGGGAGGAGCAGGTCAGGGGGAAGGTCAAGGGTCTGTGTGAGACATGTCAAGTTTGAGACATCAAACAGATCTCATGTGGACCTCCTGTCCACTTGACATCTTACTAGAAGCAGGCAGTGGCATATACTAACCAGGAGTCTGGAGGAGAGGTCCCAGCTTGGAGAGAAATCTGCACAACCGCAGCATGTAGGTGATATGAGGCTAGGTGAGATCACCCAGGGGGCGACTGAAGGTGTACAGAAGAGAGGAGAGAAGGACCGAGCCCTGGGGCACTCTGACAGTGAGAAGCAGGGAGGTGAGGAAGAACCAGCAAAGGGAAGAACAGCCAGAGAGGTGAGTGGAAAACCACGAGTGCTATCCTGGAAGCCAGGTGAAGAGAGCAGTCAAACAGGACAGAATGGTTAGTAGCAAAAGCTGTAAGATGAAGACTGAGACTTGCCCATTGGATCTAACAACATGGAAGAGAGGCCAAATGCATGCTTTTGGACCCAAGCATAGCCTTTCAGATAAGTCATAGTCCCCGCCTTGAAGGAGAATACAGTTGTGCAAAAAAGGGTCATTTAAGATTGGTTGAAATAAGTCTGAGAAAGATGTGAAGATAGTACCATGGGCATCCAGCAGAAAGGGACAGTACTTTGGCTGTTGTGGAGAGGGTTGAGGTCAGATTCACTCACTACTTTTTCATTCATCCATTCATCCACTCCACAAAAACTTTTTGGGTACCAGGGCCTGGGAAGAAGAGAGAAGGTCGAGTTATCATTTACGGGGTATAAAGTTTCAGTTTTGCAGAAGAAACGAGTTCTGGGGTTGGATTGTGGTAGTTGCACAACCATATGAACACATATAATACCACTGAGCTGAACACTTAAACATGGCTAAGCTTGTACATTTTATGTGTGTTTTACCACATCCCTCCTCCCCATACATATATACAAAATCAGAGAGGAGGAAAAAAAATCCTTACTGGGCCCCACCATGACCTTGGTCTGGAATATGATGTTTGAAATGGAGGCCATTTCAGTAGAAGGGGATAGCGTGGAGAGAAGGGGATGAAGGAAGTCGTCCAGCTGGAAGGAATGCTGAGAGAAGGGACTGGCCATCAGTCCTTTCTGGATTGTAGGGGCCACTGGGGGAGACCACATGAGCTGAGGCTGCAGTCAGGCTGGGCTCATTGGTGCAGGCCTGGCAGCCTGGCTATGGAGCTGGGCTTGCCTTCTTGGGTTCTGGGAGCCTCTGAAGATTTCTGCCCAAGGGAGTGTCATTCCAGAGGTGTGCATTGAGAAGATTAATTCCATTAATCCTTCTTGTTAAACCGTTGCCTGTTAAAAGCAGTAGGATTGAAGCACTCATTTCTGTGATGAAAATTGTGGCCTAGCAGAATTTTAGATACCCAGGCATGTGTTAATGGATTAAGTAGGTTATTTTTCCACCCATTTTACAGATATATTTTGAGAACTGTCTAAATTCCTGTAGTATTCTAGGCAGTAGGGGTAAGGGAAGGGATGAATTTACCAAATCTCTGGATAAGCCTACAGTCTGCGGACCCCCATTCCCAAACAAATTATACTATACTGTGCACTGTGTTACCACTGTGTTCCATGGGAGCTGAGAAGAGGAGGTGCCTGGCCCATTTAGGGCCCTGGGGAGGCTTCCAGGGAAACACTGTCCAGAGGATTTGAAGGATGAGCAGGATTTTCTAGGCAGAGGAGCAGAGGTAAGCATCCTGGGAGGACGGTAAATCAAAACTCATTTGGAGTTGTAAATTTAAAGAAAATGTATAAATACTCTCTTTTAAAGCTAAACTCTTATTTCATTGGCTTTTAGGTGGTGCTGGCTAGAGTGCATGCTTTTGGACCCAAGCTTAACTTTTCAAATGTGGAATGCTAGGCCTTCATTGGTAAGTTTGTCTGATGCCTTCCAACCGAATTCTGCTATCGAGGGATTGGTATTTGGAATGAAGGGCAAGGTGGTTATCATTGGCACTGCTCTGGGGAGTTTACAGAGCCTGGACCTAGAAAAGCCTACGTACAGGTGGGGGAAGCCACAGGAGAAGTGGATCTCACTGTAGGTTTCTGTGGTTGATGCAGGGAGAGAGGCCAGAGGAGGGACATCCCGGGGTGCAGGGGATGGACCCAGCTGGCCTCCCGGCAGTCCAGGGAGGAGTGCAATCAGCTTTTCAGGCTTGAGAAGCTTTTCAGGGTATAAGATGTAGAAAGTGGGCTCAGCAGCAGACCCACAGGAGCAAAAACTTAACCCAAAAGGAGTAATGGGCAAGAATTTTGGCAGGATTTGCTGGTGACTATTCTAGACCAGGGTTAGCAAACCTTTTCTTTCTGTAAAGGATCAGATGGTAAATAATTTTGGCTTCATAGGCCACGCGGTCTCTGCCATAGCTACTCCACTCCACCACTGTAGCCTGCAAGCAGCCACAGATAGTATGTAAATCATGGGTGTGGCTGAGTTCCAGTAAAGCTTTATTTGCAGAAACAGGTGGTGGGCTGGATTTGGCCTGTGGGCTGTGGTTTGCCCACTCCTTTTCTAGACCCTGAATGCTGGGCTGAGGCACTTGGACGTTGTCCTGAAGGCAGTGGGAAGCCATGGAAGTTATTTTGGGCAAAGAAGTGACATGGCAGAAGTAATATGTTAGGGACATTCATCTGATAGCTGGACAAGAGGCACGGGCCCTGCTTAAAGGCAGCAGCAGCAATCCAGGCATGAGGTCATGTGGTTAACAGTGGTTAAAATGGAGCCAAGGACCCATAGGAGAGATATTGTGAAGGGGGGACTGTAGGACTTAATGGTCTTCTTAAACTTTAAGAGCCAAAGAAAAAGAAAATTTAAACTTGAGTGAACGTTCACAATGGTACCATTGGCAGAAATGTAGGTAGAAGGGGAGTAGATGCGTCCAGTTTTAGATACACTGACTTCGAGATGGCAGTGGTTCATCAACAGGAACTGTCCAGTAGACAGTTGGAAATGTGAGGCTGAAGCCTGAACTGAGAAGGGTAGGCCTGGAGACACAGAGCAGAAGCCATAGGATTAAGTTCTCCCCATGACGAGCAGAGGGCCGAGCCTTGGGGAATGTGTGTAATTCTGGGATGGGAAGCAGAGGGTGGAAGAGAAGCAGAGGCCAAGGAGGAGAGAGTCCCAGGAAGGGAAGAAGATGGGGCAGCAGAGACCAGGGAGAAGGGACCTGAGGGGAGGCTGCCGAATCGGTGATGAGGTAGTTATGGCCAATCTTGAGGAATGTGATGCTATGAGACGGGAAGTGGGGAGGAGGCCAGGTTGCATGAGGTCAGACATAAATGAGGGATAAAGAATCAGAGACGTTAGTGAAATAGACCACTTATGGAGAGTTTAGGTAGTAAAAGGAGGGAGACACAGAGATTTCAGCATCTGCATGCCAAAATAACCTTTTCTTTAGCTTTGAGGCAAGCAAAGCGTGCTGTGACCGGTTCTCACGCCCTTCTCCGGAGCCAAGCTGTGTCTGGGAGTCTGTGTGTACCTCAGGCTGGCGATTGTGCTCTTGTGCGTTCTTTGAGGTGTGGTGTTCAGAGCTCTGCCCAAACTTGCACCAACGGAATCCAGCCCGTGTTTGGCCTCTTGCCATGAGACAAGATGTGATGTGCTGGGGAACGAGTTGCATTTGCCTGAATTGGAGGAGATGGTAGGGGAGAGCAAGAAATTGAAGTGGAACTCCTTACTGCAGGGTCTGCCCAAGTGTGAGAATTTGAGATCTTTCCTCAAGTCACTTAACTAGATATCAGTGTAAGCTCTGAGTATTTGGAGTGTGTGTTCTTTGGTTTGAATTCTGAGTAGTTTTTGGCTAGGTTTTCATGAATATAACAGTTAGAGAGTGAGTCATAAGAGCAACAGGTGGAACTGGTTTGGAGCCCCTGTTTTATGAACTCCTACCGTGTACCAGGCACAGTGCTGCGTGCTCCACAGGTATCGTTGGCTTTCATCTTTGCAACAGCCTACGACAGGCGAGTTAGTGTTCTCTCTTCAGCAATCAGGAAATCAGGTCGCAGAGAGGCTGAGTAGCTTGCCCAAGGTTACAAGGGATTTGAACCTTGATCTATCTGACCCCTGGTTTATGTTGCTTTTTGTTTTCTCCCCACTAAGTCTCAGATTTCTCCTCCTGCTCACGTAGAAGGACTAGACACAGAATGAGCTCTTAAGGTTAAATATTCAGAGCCTATGGTGGGTGGTTCCACTTCTTAGGAGTCTCTTAAAAGGGTGGATGAAGTGTAGGATCTCTGGAAGAGTCTAAGACCAAACACTTACTTTAACTGTTCCCCCAGCTAACATTTTCCTTTAGTTGGAGAAGATGACAGTCTTGGGCTTGGAAAGGAAATCTCACTAGAAGGCATGACAGTCAGATTCCAGTCCTGGCTCTATGGCAGTTAAACAATCTGCTTTTTGTTTAAATAGTTGTATTTCTCTCTGTCTAACTCCAGCTTCAGACTCCAAGGACAGGGTCCTATTTTGTCTTGTTTCTCTCTGTCCCCCAGCACCCACCCTGGTGTCAGGCATGTAGCATGTGCTCACTAAATATTTGTTGCTTCTTGTGAGCTGGGCTACCTGGGACAGGAGCTCAACCTCTGTGTGCCAGGCACTGCTCTCAGCACCGCAGTTACAGAGGTGACACAGGACAGGTTCTGTCCTCATGAAGCAGACGTGCTAGCCGGGGAGACAGAGTAGATGGACGAGATGTGCAGTCTAAGGTCAGGCAGGTAGGATAAGTGCTCTGGAAAAAGTCATAATCATGCTCTTTGGGGTGACCACAGATATGTCAGCAGAGCTGCCCATACCCCGTGGTGATGCTTTTGCTTGGCCATGGTTGCTAACACCTAGCTAACTGCTCCCCACAGCAAGAGCTCCCTCCTGGGTCCAGAGGGGCCTCATGTCTCTGGCGGGGCGACGTGCTCCCTCTTGCACCGCTGCGCTGATTCTCTTTTCTCTGTCTCTAGCTTAATAAGGTTTTGCCTGATCCCTTTCTGGTCAGTCCAAGTATTCTCCCCGGGTGAGCTCATCCATGCTCACCTCTGTCCTGAAGTCACCCAGGTCTGCATGTCCAGCCCAGAGCCCCCTCCCAGCCCTCCCTCCTGGCTGCTGTCCCACACATGGGCACATCCAACTCAGCCCTTGCCTGGTACCAAATGTGTCCCTCTCCCCAGGGTGCCTGCCTTGGGTGGGATGACACCCCTTCAGTTGTCTTGACTGCAGGAGTTGTGCTTGGCTTTGTCCTTTCCCTCAGCTGTCATCTTCCATTGGTTACCTCATCTGGAAGAGACCATCTTCTAGTTTGTCACTCCCTCCATTCTCCTCCCTCCCCACCCCTTCATTTAGGACTTCTCGTTGGGATCGTTTCAGTGGCCTTGTCGTTATTCTCCCTGTGTCCGCGTTTGTCCTCCCTCATTCCACCCCTGCCTTCCTGGCAGCGTGATGTTTCTGTCTCGCACATCTGTCGTGCCTTCTTCTACTTACAACTCTCCAAGAGCCCCTCATTGCTTATAGAATAAAACCTGAGCCCCACGTGCGGGCCTGCAGTCTGTTCATAGTCTGGCCTTTGGCCACCTTCCCTGATTCACTTTTTCCCTAACCCGTCTTTCTAACTTCAGCCCAACCTCCCAACGGCCATCACCTCTTGGTGCCTTTGCCAGAGCTGGGCCCTTTCCTGGGAATGACCCAACCCCTGCTCCCCATTTTGGTAACTTAGCTCAGGTTTCTGCTCTTCTGGACACCTTCCTTCCCCTCCCTGCACTTCTCTGTGACCTGGAGATGACCTTCCTGCTGGCTCCCAGAACACACTGCATTTGCTCTCTTTCCCAAAGCACTTATCAGCCTAAGTGTTGATTTAATATCTGTTATGCTCAGTAAACTGAGCTCCTTAAGGGTGGGGCATGCATGTGCGTGCACACACACACACAAAATCTCTGGGATCTCGGTGCCAGCACAGTGTACCTGGCTCAGGAAGTGTTTGTTGAAAGAGGGAGGATAGCAAAGTCTATTTGTGCAGCCAAACAACAGATTTATAGCGTGATCAGATGTATTAGAAATTGGAGGTTCATTGGCTATTGTGTTGAGTAGGGCCTCCCCTTTGTTGTGGGCCTGGGTCTGTGGCCGCCTTCTGTGTCTCCCTGCGTGTTGCGGCCTTGGGACTGTAACGTCTCTATACTCTTTGCCTCTTACTTTTTTATTTTTAACTCTGGTTGTTGATGGGATAGTAAAGCAATTCAAAATGAAAAATAGTCCATTAAGGAATGCTTAGGAATGAGGTCCACCCAGCTTCCTGGACGAATCCCAAATTTCCTAAATTAGCCAAAATAATGATTCTTGCTAACTGCTGACAGCTTTTTCGTCGCATAGTCCAGCTGAGAGTGCTCTTCTGGCTGGGGGATGAGGATAGCTTGTGGTCCTTTTGGAGGTGCCCGACAGCATCTTTATCTTCGTTTGGAGCCTTGTCAAGTCCTCAGTGAATACAAGGAGTAGCACATAGGAAGAGGCTCTGAGCCCAGGGGTGCCAGGTCCGTGTCTGTGTTCCGCTCAGCAGCTGCGTCAGTGCGCCTAGGCACTGACCTGCACCTTCTCACGTTTTCATGTGGGGCTTGCAGCTTGACACTGTTGCCTCTCCTTCCCTTTCTGGTTCTGCCCCAGACCTGGGACATTGTGCTGAGAACGCAGCTTTTCTTCGTAGTGATCTGGGAAGAAGATTCCTGGAAGAAGCTGTTCTCATCCGAGAGGTATCCTGCTGGCCAGCGTCTCCAGGGGCCCCTGGGGCTGCTTTCCTTGCCTGGGAAGACTGCTGCTGCTTGCCTTTCAGGGACTTTCCAGAAGCCGTTCCCTTGCAGGGAGTTCATTTTCCTTCCGGTTTGCCTGGTTCATGCCCATCCA